GTGTGTGTGTGTGTGTGTGTGTGTGTGTGTGTGTGTGTGTGTATTCCTCTGTCTGTTTTCAGAATCTTTCATGAATTGAATGAAACTATCAGAAAGTTTTACAATGAATAATAAATTATTGGATCAACAACTGGTGAAAATCAGAAGTTAATTTGATTCGAGATGGCCAAAGCAGCTAATCCACCTTACAAAAATAGCTATAACTCAGTTTTTTTTTTTTTTTTTTTACAGATTTTGAACTCAAATTTGGTGAGGTAGTAAGTGAGAGTCATTCCCAACTCATAATCTGAATGCTTAGAGTTTGTGCAATATCGTTGTTTAAGACTTTGGCAAACAAGGCAGTGAGTAATATTCATTCCTTCAAGAAATGTCACTTTTTAATACAACAATAAATGATACAATGAACCGTTTAAAAACTTAGCTAAACATAAAGAAAAGTGTTTAGATCACTTTCACATCAAACACAGGGAAAAAACTAGCTACATGTAAAAAAACACATTAGAATGGTTAGCAGTTAGCATCCATGCTAAATGCTAGTCTTAATGGAGTTTGTGCAGGACTGTACAAAAATGTTTTCCAACCAGTTCTGAAATGGCCAAGTGAAATAACTGGATGTGTAATTGCTCAGAAACTAACTTTAACTCAAAATACACATTTTATCTCCATCATCAGAGCATGCTGGTGACAATGGATAAAAAATATACATAAATATCATGGCCACAAGATAATAAAGCATGGGCCTTACAAACTCCAGAGTGTTTTTACTATATACATATATTTACATGTGTGAATACAAGTGAAAATTTGGCGTATTAAAAAGTGAGTAAAATTAAATTCTTGTTTTTCTGTCATTTTCTCTCACCTCCATGCATGGCATCCAGTCTTATGTTGATGTGGTTCTCTCCAGACAGAAGCTCCTTCAGAGCAGCAAAGTCAAAGATGTTCCTCATGAGGTTAGCGTACGATTCAACAGGATCAACTATTTCCACTGAGCAGGTAAAAAAGACACAAAAACCACACGTAGATTAAAAAGAGAGAGAAATTTAAAAGAAAAGTTCTGTTTTTAAAAAATGCCAGATGCAAGTAAAGTAGCAGAGTACTGTCTTCAGTTCTTCATCTCTTACGTCACAAACAGAAATCACATATTTTATTTGAGCCTGAAGCTAATGTTTGCAGAATCTGATTTAAACAGAACCGTATCAAAACAGTGTTTTTTATAAAACATGTTAAAATGAGTTTTTCAGGATGAAGACTTCTCATGTAGCTCCTTATTTCTTATTAAAACTCAGGTGTCTCCAAACAATCTGAATTCTCTTTCTGAGGATTCAGTCAAATTAGGTCAAAATGACCTCAGCACATTTCAGATTTTTTTAAAGCTTTTTAAGCTACATTTTGAAACCTGGATCATCCTGAAATCATGAGTGATTCTTGAGATATGACTTGATTTGTCTTCTTAATCAGGAAAACTCATTGATATTTGGTCTGATTCCTAATTATGGGTTATTCTACTATATAATATACAGTTATTTTAAAGAGGAAACCTCAAACAATATTTATATTATTATTTAATATATATATAATACTGAGATTTCAAAGCTGAAAAGAAAATAAGCTTGGCCAGGTTGCAGATAAAATAATAACAAAAAAATCAGCTTTTTCTGCCCAAAACCCATGTTTATTGTTGCTACTGCTCAAAAAAGTGTTTTTGTTTTTTCACTTAATCGTGGCAAATGTGTAAACCAATTCATTGTACAGGGTGGGTCATTTGTATGGATACACCTCAATAAAATGGGAATGGTTGGTGATATTTGGGAGGGGGAAACTTCAAGATGGGTGGTGACCATGGTGGGCATTTTGGATCCAATTTTAGATTTTTCAATGGGAAGAGGGTCAGGTGACACATCAGACTTATTGATAATTTCACAAGAAAAACAATGGTATGCTGGGTTTTAATGTAACTATTCTTTCATTGGTTATTTACAAGTTTCTGATCACTTCATACACTGATAGTAACACCGCAGAAGAAATGCTAGTACAGGCTTCCACCCTGTACATCACTGGTTTTCCACAGACCACTGTGGGACTTAATCCTGGGATAGATGTTAGGGGTGCAACGGTACAGAAAATTCATGATTCGGTTCAGTTCGAAACTTTAGTCTCACGGTTCAAATTTTTATACCACTTCAGTAGAAAGCAGTACTAAATATCTGAATATTCTTAGCTTCTTCATCATCAGTGTTTTTTTAGATAGACAAGAAAGAAGAAGAAAGAAAGGAAAAAAGAAGGAAAGGAAAGAAAAGTTACAATGTAATGGAAAAAAGTGAAAGAAAGAATTGATGATATGTGAGATATAAGTCAAGAAAACAATACAGTACATCCAACATCTGTCTGCACACCTGCAAAGAATAAAGGTTACAAAACTTAGCAAAAGCATACATATATACATTTAGACAGATAAACAAACACCCACCTATATATACCTGGTGATCATTCAGAACCCCTCAGATCTGAACACCTGTCTGTGTGCGGTTGTGAGCAAGCATAAATTTACAGGATTTCTCCAACAGAATGTATAATAGTGACTGTGGGGGAGTCTCAGAGCTGACCCCCAAGGCACGAGGCAGACATAAGGGGAGGCCAGAGCCAAAGACCCCAGGAGGAACCCCAAGCATCGGGCCCCCAGGTACACCTTCACGAGAAGAGCCGCACACCCACCCCCAGGTCAAACCATAGGGGAGAC